CCATTCACACACTGCCCAGGAGACGCTAGTGAGCCGGCAGACGTAGAAGTACCAGCTCAGAGTGGTTTCTAGGGCAGTGAGGCCAAGGTGAGTCCTTTGGTGAAACTGCTTGACAAAAGCGGGAACTAGGGTCCCAGGGACTGCAATTCATCTGTCCTTGAACTTCCACCATCCACCGGGGAGGAGCTCCCCCTTTCATTCTTAAACCAGGCTTCTTCTTGAGGTGAGTACTTGAGGTTCCCATTTGGCTAAGGGACTGGGAAATAGGGAAGCAGTTAGAGATATAGGGCTGGCTATTTCCTCAGCCGCTGCTAGTTTGGCAACATGGTCTGCCCTGCAGTTGCTCTGGGCTGTTATGGCGTCTCCTTTTTGATGTCCTCTGAAGTGCATGACTGCTACTTTCTTGGGGCTTACGCAGCATTTAAGAGTTCTGGAATTTCCTTTCCATATTTTATGTCTTTTCCCTCAGAATTGATTAGACCCTTCACTTTGTACAGGGCTCCATGTACATGGAGGGTGGTGAAGGCATACTTAGAGTCTGTGTATGTTAGCACACACTCCTGCTGCCAGCTGAAGGGTGCGAGTCAAGGTGATGAGTTCTGCCTTCTGTGCTGAGGTTCCCCTAGGTAGAGGTTTTGCCTCAATGGTGGAATGTAGGGTCACCACAGCATATCCTGCAAGGCATTCTCCTCTCCTCGCAAAGCTGCTACCATCAGTGTAATATTCTACATCAGGGTCCTTGAGAAGCTGGTCTGTCAAGTCGGGTCAGCTGGAAAACCCTTCATCCATGACTTCAGTGCAGTCATGGTCTGGCTGGCCGGGCCCCACCGGTAGCAAGGTGGCTGGGTTCAAGATTCTTACTACCTCTAAGTGGATGTGTGGATTCTCAAACAGCATTCATTGGTATCTGACCATCTGGGCATTAGTTAGCCAATATTATCCCTTGTATTCTAGTAATGTTATTACTGAATGTGGTACTCAAACTGTCAATTCTTGCCCCATAGTCAGTTTGTCGGCCTCTGACACGAGGAGAGCCATGGCTGGGAGTGTTCGCAAGCAGCGTGGCCAGCCCTGAGTGACAAAGTCAAGCTGTTTGGAGAGATAAGTCACAGGACAGTGCCAATATCCTAGCAATTGGGTTAAGACCCCTGCTGCAACACCTGTGCTCTCATGTACAGAAAGAAAGATTTGGTTAAGTCTGGGAGTCCTAGTCCAGGGGCATTAGTGAGTGCCCGTTTGATTTCTTCAAAGGCCTTCTGTTGTGTAGATTCCCAGAGTAGGGGCTCCCATTCTCCCCACTTTGTGGTTTCATAGAGGGGTTTGGCCAGGATGGAGAAATTAGGAATCCAGATTCTGCAGAAGCCAGCTGCTCCGAGGAATTCTTGGACTTGTCATCAGGGACGGGAATTGAGCAGACTGTTTGTTTCCTTTCTGGGCCGAGTTGGCACTGTTCTTGAGACAGGTGGAAGCCGAGACCTTGTAACTCGCTTCTCAGAGGATATTGAGGAGTAAATGTGTTCCTTCCATGCATTCCTCATAGGTCTTTCCTGCTAAGAGGAGGTCATCCACATATGGAGTAATGTATAGCTGTGTTGGTTTGCCGGGAAGGCCTTTCAATCCGAGGCTAGAGCTGTCCCAAAGATAGCTGGGGAGTTCTTGAATCCCTGAGGCAGCTGCGTCTATGTCAACTGGCCCTTGTCTCCGCTCTTAGGGCTTACCCATTGGAAGGCAAAGATCAATTAATTCTGAGGAGCCTGGTGAATGCAGAAGAAGGCAGTCTTGAGATCCAGACAGGTGAAATATGCTGCCTCAGTGGGGGTGAGGCCTAAGAGGGTATACAGGTTGGAGAGGACAAGGTGCAGGTTGATTGCTTGACCCGAAGAATTCCATTCTTCAGAAGTCTCTCTAAATGTTTTTGAATCCCTACTTGTGCCTTATGGAGGATGAAATATTGTTTTTGGTGTCTGCCTCAGCTCCTGGTTTTAACTCTTCCACCACCGGAGGAATGTGTCGGGCTAGTCCTGGAGGGTCATCTTCAGCCCACACTCTGGGCTTCTTGAAGGGGCAATCAGGTCTCTGTTGGGACCTTTCTATGAGACTATAGAGGCACCACTCTTCTCTTTGGGGAACTGTGAGTGACATGATCCTTGCTTTTGGCCTCCCCAAAGTTAGGACTGCTTGGCCATATGTGTCAAAAGTAAGTTGAACCTGTAGTTTTCCTAAAAGATCTCATCTTACTAGTGCCTTGGGGCAGTTGGGCAGGTATAGGAATTTGTGGACGACTTCTTGTTCTCCTAGGTTGCACCAGCAGGGCTGCAGGAAGGGGCGATGGACTTGTCCTCTGGTTGCTCCCATAATGGTAGTTTATCTTTGAGAAAGGGGTTCCGCAGGCCGAGTTACAGCTGAGTGTTCAGCTCCTGACTATCAGCTCCTGGGGGCCTAGCAGAATGGAGCCTGGTCTATCCTAGTGCTGGCAACACAGGCCTCTTTTTTTTCAATTGACCTTGGGAGGGTGCCAAGGCTTAGACTAAGAAGACCTTATAGTTCTCCTTTAGGCAGACTCTCCACCAAGGGATTCGGGTGCAAATTATTCCCTCCTAAGAATCAATATAAGGGAATTGGTCTGGGTGGCCAGGTTGACTGGTAGTGAGTGACTTGAGATACCTTTGCAATGACTTCCTTATCAAGAGCGCCCTCTGCTGGCCATCCAATGCCAAAAGAAGGCCGGTCGATCTCACAAAGGATGTGGTTTCTGTGGGGTGAGTTTAACTCCATCATCTCCTGAATAACCCTTTTTGAAATTCTTAAGCATACAACTTAAAAGTGTCCGTTTACTCTGTTATTCACTCATCCTTCCATCCGTGGTTGGTGATGCATATGCACTCAGAGATTTGCTTCGCCCATCTCTGGCCGCTCTCCTCGCAGGGATCTTTTAGGTGCCTCTTAGCAATTGATGGGTCGGTATAAACCCCCAGCTCAGATCACTAGAGTAGACTCTTCACGGAGATCCAGTGACACCACCCTAAGCCATATGAGGTTCGCCACAGAACCGCAGATAGGGGCTCAACTCTCGCTTTGTGGCAGGGCCATGTCTCAATCACACGCAAACACACAGCAAACACACTCCACCCTCCGCCCTATGTACCCAAGAGGTCCTGGTTTCCTCTAACACATGTAGAGTACTTGGGTGACCTCGGGAATTGATCAGACTCCCTTTCTGTCCTCCAGCGAACAGGCTGTTTCTGGGACCTGGGTCCTTAACATTCAGTCAAGTGGTGCTCCTGGGCTGATTCCTGCACCTCTCCAGGTTCCATTGTGCTTCAGGGGCGGCCACCCAAGGTCACTGGAAGAGATGTTTCTCCTTTTACAGGCAAGGGGCCAAGCGGAGTCTGTGTCTCCCTGTGTCCTGGGGGCCAGACCCTGAAGACAAGGGAGGTGAAAAACTGCCATCTCCAGATCCCCCAAAATGTTGCAGGATTCTCCAATGGAGAGACGGAACTCCGAGGCTATAAGCAGGAAGTAGTGTTTATTGATGCCGGCACCAGCTCAGTGGATTCTTATCCAAAGGCTAAGCCCCGATTGTAACATAACAGGCAGTTTTATACAGTCTTGTTATCCCTACACAGCTACAGATATAGAGAAGAACATTAATTGGTTCGCAAGCTATGAAAAAACTGATATTAGCTGGAGAGTCTTTGAGGTGGGGAGGGCAGTCACAAACGAGCTTGTGTGAGCAGGAAATGGCCAGGCAGGGTTAGGCTGCTACAGCACTATTGATGCTTTGGGTGGGAAAATTCTGTGTGTGTGAAGCTGTGTGTGCATTGCAGGATGTTTAGAAGCAATCCCCGACCTCTACCCACTAGATGCCAGGAGCATCCTTGAGAAGTGACAATCTTTCTAGACATTGCAAAATATCCCCTTGGCAAAACCACTACAAGCTGACAACTACTGCTGTGAAGATTTTAAAAGGCAGCTTAATTCTTAAGCAAGAAATGGTTTCACACGGCAGTAAGGAATTGTTCACATTTTTTTTCAGGACCACGTGGTCAACTAGCAGGAAAACTTGGTTTTGGTAAATGAACTGTGCTATGATCCCTTTCGGTGTTAAATGTATATCAGGGTAGTAACACTTATGTATTAAACATGGCTCATTTTAAGCAATAGGCTATCAGGAATAAGTTCTCATCCTCTTCCAAAGCCTTACCTGTCACTCAAAATTATTAGTAGACAATAAACCTGCTCTCATGGAAAGGGAATGAAGCAATGCAGGTCACTAGTTAAAGCTCTAAAAGACCAATCTAAGGATGTGAGAGCTGGATGCTAATAGATGTAAACTAAGGGAATGTTAGTTTAAGTACCCATTTCTAAATTAGCTTAAGTGCTAGATAAAACTAGAGTAATCCAAACTCTAGCCTGACGTGTATTTGAGCTAGCACCACTCATCTCTGGCAAGATCCTCAAATCCATTCCAGCATCTGCTTTGTAGTTCGGTACAGCCTTCCCTGGGAGTCCCGTTCCAAATGAAGACACTGAAGAAAAAGAGAGGGAAAAAGGAGAGAGAAGGGAGTACGGAAGCAGGGAGCTTTTCCTATTTCATTGAAGCCCAGGCAGGCACACAACAGTGGCTGTGCATCTCCCTGGGGAGCCTACATTCCAGGATTAAGGGAAGTGTCACAGTGCTCCATTGCCTTTGTTTTCTCTCAGACTGGACAATGCTGGAGCCAACAAGGGGGTAAGCTGCCCAAGGCCCTCTCTCTCACCACCAGTAATGGTACAGGATGGTGGGCTCTGCCTCCGTGATCCCTCATTCTGGCCTTGAAATCTCTTTTCCAAGGGTATTAGGTTCCATGAAAGAGGGAAAATGAGCCATGTATATTGCTTCCCAGTTTGAGTAATCTAGAAAAAAAATTAGAATTTGTCAGGTTATTAAGATTATAAAGTAGATTAATCTCACTGTGAGACTCTGAACGTCTAGTCCAGCACCCAAAAACTATACTTCCTTTTATTTAGTACTTCCTCATTTAAAGTTTTTTTTTTCATTCTTTTCCCCTTACTAACCATTTTGTCTCAAGGTTCATTGCCATAACTTGAGAAAAGGCAATACTTGTGTGGTTTATACCAAGTTTAGGGCTATACTGGTGGTGGTGTTGGGGCAATTAATAAATTTTCATCTAGGTAATTCTGTCAGATCAAAATTTCATCCTAGAGGCACTGAAAGTTTACATCCCAGTTTCACTTATGAGCAGTGTGACCCTGGGTAAGTTGGACTTTTTTCATGCCTCATCTGTACAATGGGGATACTAGTACCCACTTCTTGGAGTTGTTAGGACTAAATGTGATGACATCTATAAAGCATTTAGTATAGTGCCTGGCACCGTTGTCAATAAACATGCAAATAAAGTGTCATAGGAACACGATGCTTATACCATTCAAGGATCAGTATAGTCTTCAGCCCCAAGAGTTGCCAGTGGGATTTTCGAATGTCCATGAGAGTTAGTTGGCATCATTGGCAGACCTAAGAAGAAGGGTTAAGGCGGGCAGGAATGAGAAATGATTGCAAAATGAAGAGAAGAAAACAGAGGCACAGGCAGGTAGAATTTTGTAGAACATTGTTCGCTCCCAGACAATGTGCATTCTAAATCTATTAAGAAAAGACTGTCTCTGACATCAAAGGACTTGTAGTCTTTTGAACGAGAGTCAAATGAACAGAGCAAGATGGATTATGACAGAGAGGGTGCAAGTGATTGAAAGCACAGTAGAGCAGCCAACCTGCCTAGGGTTGGGGTTCAGGGTTGCAGAGTAAATAAAGTCAGAGTGGAGTCCTGAGAGTTAGAAGGGTACAGTGTGTGCAAAGACATGGAGGTAAAACATGCAAAGCAGAGAGTGAAATTCTGTATAGTTGAAGGTAGAGTGTGGGGCTGAGGCACAAAATGTTATCTGTGCTTTGGCTATTTGTTGTGGA